TTATTTTCTTAATTCTATGCTTGTACTTTTCATTGTCTATATATACAAATATAGTTGATTTTGTATGTCAGTGTTATATCCTTCCTGCAACCTTATTGAATTCTCTTATTGATTCTAGTAAATTTTTGTGGATTCCTTAGGAATTTCTATATATATATATATGTCTTCTGCAAATAGAGAGGGTTTTTTCCCCTTGCTTGTCAGTCCAGATGCCTTTATTTCTTTGTCTTGCCTAAATGCCTTGGCGAGATTCTCTAGTACACTCTTGAATGGAAAAGGAAAGAGCAGATACTGTTGTCTTATTCTGATCTTAAAGGGAAAGCAGTCAGCCTTTCACTATTAAATCTGATGACAGCTGTTGGGCTTTTCATAGATACACTTGTCAGACTGAGAAAATTCCCTTCCATTCTTAATTTTTTCAAATGTGTTTATTACAAAATTATATCAGATTTCATCATATGCTTTTCTGCATTTATTGAGATGATCATGTGGTTTTGTTCTTTATTCTATTAATATAATTATTACATTAATAATTAAATATTCTATTAACATTATTATAATTATATATTATATATACTAATTATAATATTTATATAATATAATGTTATTATAATTATATATAATAATTATAATATTTATATAATATTAGTATTCTATTAATATTATTCTTTGTTCTATTATATAATCATTACATTAATAATTAAATGCTTTTTAAGTCTTAAAACAACTTTTCATTATTGAAGTAAATCCCACTTTGTCCTTATGCATAATCCTTTTTATATTTTGATGAATTCAGTTTGCTAGTATTTTTAACAGAATTTTAGGGTTGATATTTAAAGGGATATCAGTCTGTAGTTTTCTTTTCTTATGACATCTTTGTCAAGTTTTCTTATCAGGGTGATATTGGCCTGAATGAATGGGATGAGAAGTGTTCAATTCTTTTGAAAGAGTTTCTGAAAGGATTGGTATTAATTTTATAAATATTTGGTAAAATTCAACAATAAAATCATGTAGGCCAAGGCTTTATTCTGAAAAAAGGTTTTTAAATTACTAATTCAGTCTCTTTACTTGTGATAGGTCTATTCACATTTTCTATTACCTCTTGAGTCACTTTTGAAAATATATGTATTTCTAGGAATTTGACTAATTCATGAAGATTATTGACATAAAGTTTTTCACAGTATTCCCTAAAATCCTTCTTATTTCTGTACCTTGGTAGAGAAGTCCCCTCTTTTACTTATTTTACTCAACTGAGTTCTCTCTCTCTCTCTGTTTTGTTGACCTTTTCAAAGAATAATTTTTGGTTTTGTTGATTTTTTCTATTGTTTTCCTGATTTCTATTTTATTTGTTTTAACTTCTATCTTCTCTAATTTGCTTCTTCCTCTTTGCTCTAGATTTAGTTTGCTCTTGTTTTTCTAGTTCCATAAGGTGCAAGATCTTTCTTCTCTTTTAATGGACATCTTACAGCTATGAATTTCCTCTAAAACACTGCATTAGCTACTTTCCATAAGTTTTTGTATTCTGTGTTTTTGTTTTCATAAATCTAAAAGTATTTTCTAATATACTCTGTGATTCCCTGTTTGACTCATTAATTATATAGGAGTATGTTGTTTAATTTCCATGTATTTCTGAATTTCCTAACTTTTCTTCTGTTATTGATTCTTAATGAAACTGGTAATTGTGATCTAAAACATACTTTGTGTTATTTTACTCCTTTTAAACTTATTAAAGCTTATTTTATGATCTAACATGATCCTAGAGAATGCTTCATGTGACTTGAGAAGAACACATATTCTGCCACTGTTGGGCAGAATGCTTTATAGATGTCAGTTAGGTCTAGTTGTTTGTAGTTTTGTTTAATCCTTCAGTTTACTTTTTGATCTTCCACCTACTGATTCTTTCCATTATTAAAAGTGAACTATTAGAGTCACCAGCTGTCACTGACAAGTTACCTTTTTCTCCTTTCAATTCTCCCAGGTTTTTGCTTCATGCATTTTGGTGCTTTGTTGTTAGGTACATATATATTCATAAGTCTTATGCCTTTTCGATGGATTAAACTTTGTCATTCCTTCTCTCTAGTAACAATTTTTGTCTTAAAATAAATTTTGTCTAATTTTTGTATTGCCACTCCACCTCTTATTTTGCTGTTTACATAATATTACTTAATATTAATATATCTTCTCATAGACCTATACTTTTGATCTATTTGTGTATTTGAATCTAAAATGTATCTCTTAAGGACAGCATACAGTTGAATGTGTCTTGTATTTTGTTTTGTTTTCATCCATTCTATCAATCTTAGTCATTCCATGAGTTCTGTTGCTGTTTCTGGGTTTTACTGTTGTTACTATTGCTGTTTGGTTAGTATGTTTACTGAGCTAATTCTATAAATTTTGTTAGTCCTTTAATGTGCCATTGAATCTCTGCTTCATTAGCTTCATGGTCAGCTAATGACTATACAGAGATTTCCCTAAAGGCTTTGAATAAAAAGAATGGGATATTTTTTGTTTTCATCTTCTGCAGAAGGGCTCTGTGTGCATATCGGGACAGCCCAGGCAGGCACTTTTCAACCCTGCCTTGGCCTTCAGTTTCTATTTTTAAAAAAGCTGAAAGCCAACCAAAGGTGAACACGTGAAGCCTTCTCAGGCATTCTCTGTCTGGTCATGTGCACAGTGCTGCATATGCATGTGGCCTTGTGAGTCTCTAGGAACATATCAGAGCAATGTATATTCCCCAGACCTTTTTGCAAAGATTTATGTCTAGCCTCTTGTTTGTCAAGATCTGTATTGCTGCCAGAGGATGCTTCAGTATTAAGTAATCACCACAGATTGTTTTTGAGACACTCCATAGGGAAAGGGCTTTTCCCACTGTGCAAACTCTGGGTCAGGTCAAAGAAGAAAAAAAATAACAACAAACCCTATGAATGGGACATTTTCATGTAGCCTCTAGGCAATTAGCTGAGGTTTTTTTTAGTATTATATGGGGCTTTTTGAAAAGCTCCAAACCCATTCTGCACCCTACAGTGTCTGTTTGGCTTCCGGTTTTCACAGCTCCTATGATTGCAAGGTTGGTGGGGTTCAAAGATGCTGAAGAGTGGATGGTAATAGGGCAATTTAAAGCACTACAAAGCTTGCTGTTATTACTGAGAGTCAACATTTTTCTTGAATAAATGTTTCTCAGGTCGCTGCAAGCCTTTTTTTAATTTCCAGAATTTTATAAAAGTTGTTTTGAACATTTATTCAGTGTTCTAGTTGCTTTTGTGTAAGAATAGACTTTTGAAGATTCTTACTCCATCACTCCTGAAGTTCTTCTCAACACGCACCATTATTTTTTAATGAAAGAAAAAAATGGACAAATAAATGCAATCCATGTAACTTAATTCTTTGCACCCTCAAAGAATCCCAAATAATAATAAAAAAAATTTTTTAATGAAAAAACATGGAAACATCTTAAAATGCATCAGTAATGGAAAGTAACAGATGCTGCAGTCCATGTTATGGAATACTAGACAGCTGGTACAAAGAAGGAGAATGGAGTTTGTGATGACACATGAGTGATAAGTGAAGAACCATTTTGCATAATAATATATACTGGGCTCTGGGTGGGTGTGTGTGGGTGTGTGTGGGTGTGGGTGTGTGTGTAAGCAAAGAAGAAGATCCCAAACTAACTCATATTACTATTAAGGAAATAATAGTTGCTCAGGAGTGGGTAGACCTGAAGCAGAAAAAGATAACCTAACTCTAGTACTGCCAAAAAAGAAAATATGAAAAATTTTTACTTTGCTATTCATGTTTTTTCTGTTTCCCAGATTTAATATATATTTATTCTCTATTAAAAATACAAAAATAATAATAACTGTTATTTAAGAAATATTCAAGCTATACTCAGGCTCTACTTGATCTAAAAAATCTCAAATTGACCCCAGCTGTGTTGGAAAACCTTACTTTCAAATCATCTACATTCCCTTTTCTTTACTTTAAAACACTGAATGACAAAACGCACACTCAAAATTTCAATCACAAATACTTTGAGTAGTGAAATGCATTTTGGTTTAGGGAGTCCTTTGAGAATCTGATGAAAACCATGTGTGCTCTTGCCAAGATAGTACATATATACACTATTTTGTCTATAATTTTCAAGGATTTATTTAAATCCACTGATTAGGTTAAGAATCGCAAACAGGATTATCTTCTTTGACAGGAGGACGTGGAAAAATACAAGAGATCTGGGAACTTCAAGGCTCTGTGTTTAGGAAAAAGAAGTCTAGTGAGGAAATAACTGGGCCAAGTTCACACGGTTAGATGATAGCAGAAACAAGCCACATCCACGCCTTCTGACTCCCAGATCAATGTCCTTCCCACTGAGTTACCTTGGATCATAAACCAAATGACAGTCCTCTTTTGGTTCTCTGAGGTTTTTACAGGCCCTGTGCCAAAGGCAGGCTCCCTGTATTGTGGCTCCTGTAATAGGTTCTGATACTCATCCCTGATTGCAAGGATTCTTGGGATAGGAAGATGGAGGGAAAATTGGCCTGTCCTCCAATAGGTACTTAACACTGTTAGATATTCATGCTCAGCTGATCATAGGCATTAGGACCTCACAGAGAAAGCCTGAGATGCAAGAGAGATAGGTCAGCTGTGAAGACGTGACAAGGTCACAGCATAAGGCTGGAGCAATCAGACTATACACTGGTCCAACAGAGGAGAAAGGAGAATCTTCTGTGCATATGAATGTAAAGACAAGGCTCCATAGAAGAGGAAAAGGAATCAAAGGATGCATAGAAGGGGGGAAATAGAAGGTATCTGGGAATCGGGAGGAGAAGGCAGGCCTAAGCAAAGTCAAGGAGAAGACAAGGAGGATGAGACAAGGAGACAGGGCCTACTATGACGGGAGGCTTGCCTGTGGTTCTCTCACTCCCTCCCCACCCCAGGGAACCCCTGCTCACTTTGCAGGCCGAGCCCAGAAGCTAACCGTGCCTTGTATCTGTTTCCCTCCACAGCTCCCTTTCACTGAAGGCCTGTACCACTTTTATCACAATGGCCTTGCAAAAGCCAAGAGAAGACGCAGCCTACACCACAGGCAGCAGCTGGAGAGAGACCCCAGGGTGAGTTTTCACTGGAAAGCTGCCTGCCAACCTCTGCTGCCACCACGGAGCCCACCAAGGGTGTGGAGGGGCAAGGCAATGACAGGCCAAATGAACCCTGGGCAGAGAGGCCCAGGGATTCTCTGCTCCTCTGTCTCATGCATAATAAATAACCCCAGACCCCTCTATAGGGCTGAAGGAGGGACACACGGGGACACCTCCCTTTCCCTGGATAGCTTCTGGAACTATTGCATGAGGACCTGGGGCTGCCTAGAAACATGTTTTGGCCTGTGATGGAGAGGCAGACACCAAGCAGCTTAATGAGTTGTTTTATGGAAGGTTTCTTCTAGAGATTCCACATGTTCTGAGGAGGCTGCCATGCCCCATAGTGTGAATAGGAAAATGAATGGGCCAGTAAGTGATCAGCTCCCAGCAGGCCACAGGGCTGTGTCCATGCATGAGTGCGGCCCTGAAACCCTCTTGGCCTTCCTTCTCATCCTGTATTTCCTAGCACTGCCCCAATTCTCCCTCCTGCCTCAACTGTCTTCTTGACACATACAACCCACATTTTGTGGTCTCTATTCTTTCCCTTACTCTTGGATTACAGGTCCCATTTCCTATTGCCCCACAGCTCAAATTGGGCTTTTTGCCAGCTAAGTGTATCCTCTTAGCCACAGAGAGACTCCTCTGCCTGTGTCTCCACTCCAGCTTCTCAGAATACGAACTCCAGTGATCATATCTCCCACCATCTCCATTCCCTCATCCATGTGGGTAGATTCTGATTTCTCTTGGGCACGTGACTAAGAGGGAAAGTGTGTAATTGTTGCTTTCTGTACTTTGAAGCCAGTACCACCTCTACCCCAGGACTCCCAGGATGGGCTGAGAAAAAGTGAGTCAGACATTTGAGTTGGGGATTTGCACATGAGACTTCTTTTGAGCTGATGGAATCTAGAAACTCATTCTTGTGGGGCTTTTCATGTGAACATTTCCTTAGGTTTAATTTGGGCTTTAATTAGGAATACAAATAAAGCAACTGGAAGGCCACCAGTAATTTTTCTTTAACTCTTCAACCCAGGGGCTCTCACATTCCCTGGTGTGGACTTTTTGCTCTGAGAAGCCACTTTATGTTTGCATTTGCAGTAACAGCCAAGCCCCCAAAGGGTCTGTTGTCAAAGCTGGTACCATTACTTAGGGGAGAAGCCCTCCTTTCTGTGTGATAACAGCTTCTGTCCTGGGTATACTGATTCATTGCCTGGGGATACCCTTGAGCAGCAGCATTTGAACAGGGATCTGTCTGTCTCACCTGTGAACCCAAGGAGGGCACCACTGGGCCAAGGCCACTGTTGTGGGCTGTGACACTGATTTTCCCTACACTTCAACTCTGTTCCATATTCTTGCCTTCTATGGCCAATTAGTTTCCTTTTATTTGTGTATTTTCTTAAAATCTTCATTAGTTACATTGCCCTAAGATTACTCAGAGAAAAACATAAACTATAGGAGGCCAGGTGCAGTGGCTCACACCCATAATAATCCCAGTGCTTGGAGGGCTGAGGAGAGAGGGTAGCATGAGCCCGTGTTCAAGACCAGCCAGGGAAACTTAGCAAGACTGCCATTGTTGAAATAAAGAAATAAAATCATTTTTGGAAACAAAAAAATAAAATAAAATAAACTGAGGGGCAAAAGCAAAGGATTGCTCAAAAGGCTGGCTGGGAAAGAGAACCGAGAGACTCAAAAACCACTATTTGGATCAGAGACACTAATTAGAACTAAATTTTCTCATATTAGAACTTCTTGAAATGATCTCTGAAATGCTGATTCTTAAAGTGCCAAGTAACATTTAAAAAGAGAAGAAAATGAAACAGGTTGGTTATTACTAGAATGGAAAGAAAGAGAAAGAAAGAAAAAAGGGAGAGAAGGAGGAATGGAGGGACAGAGAGAGAGAGAGAAAAGAAAGAAAGAAAGAAGAAAGAAAACATTAGGCACTGGTGTTTCTAAATCATTTGTCTTTCTCTTTGCAATATTGTGTACTATCATCAAATGGGTATTCCTTCCCCTCACTACCCATACTAAGGGCCCTAGAAGCCGACTGCCCCTCCCTGGTGGAGATAACCATCTGCCCTGCCCATGACGGCCAAAAGAAAATAGAAGAGAAACTAAAGAAGACAAAGTCTCATGTGCCTTTTCTCTGTCTTATCAAGGTTATATGTCAGGGCTTCTTGTCAATAATAAACTCATTCCAGGAAAAGAAAAATCTTACAATGCTTTGCAAAAAGTAAAAATAGCTAATGATGACTTCCTCTTTACAAAATATTAGATTAAGGCCTGAGTCTTTCCTGCATGGCATCTAATTTTGGCATCTGTTGATAGCAAAATATAGTGGCAACTATTCTTAGACAAAAATCACTGTCTATGAACAATACAAAAGCAGCAATATAAGAAGTCTTCTCTCTGGGCTTATAGACAAAAAGGCAAATATGTCTAGTGTTGGAATACCCCAGTTGGGGGCTTCCCAATCACATTCAAACAGGTTTCGAAAAGAAAAGTAAATAAAAGTGTAGAAAAGGGGGAAGGAACAAGTAGCCAGAATTGTTGATCCAGGCTTTTGTCTTGCCTAGATGTTGCACATTAGGCCTTGTGGACCAAGAGCTTAAGAGCAAGTTGCCCCATTGTTCTCTGAAACCTTATGTCTTCTTGAACTGCTGACATTACCAGATCTGGCAGTACCAGCTGCCTGTGCCACTTGGCTGCCCCTCTCACTCTTGTGTCTGTCCCACTTGGCTGCCCCTCTCACTCACTGACCACAGAATTGTCAAGGGGGCTGCAAAACCCAGTGCAGGGTGATCTGAGCCAACAGGGAGCTCAACAATGGCTCTACCTAGTAGCTTTTTGGCCAAAGAAACCACCAAGATCTGCTATCAACCCAAGATATAAAAAAGAAAAAGAGAACCAAGATAGTTTATTGTTTTGTTCTGGGTTCAGAACAGAAATTTTGTGATGTCTGTCTCTCCTGTGACAAACTTATTTATACTTAAGGGAAAACGGAGGAAGAAAAGACTGGAAAGGGATCTTTGTTTATGCAGGAAAATCACTAACAGCACAGATTCTGATGTAGACTATTTTGCAGATGTTCTCTTGTCTTTCCAACACTCTCTACTAAGAGTTTAGCAGGCAGCTGAGTAGCATGATTTAGATGCTAAAAAGCAAAAATGATGTCTTGTTTATTTCTATAGTATCTTTGCATCATGCATTTCTGATCATAGGCTCAGTAGATGCCAAATGAATGAATGATTACTAACTTTACTTCTGGGTTTCAATTCATGAAATAGTATTGGTTTTCTTATCTTATATTTTTATCTCTATCCCAAAATGTGCATCCATTAGGAAACAGAAGTACTGTATAGCCGTGTCTGTAGCCCCTCCGTCAGATACACTCTTAATTATGGGTAACAGAAACCAATGGCTACCTTATCACATCCAAGTTTTATGACTAAGAATCCCAGGAAGAACCAGTTCTTAATTTTTAAAGCCCAATACACACTGTGTTCCTGGTCTCATGTGCAGTCCTGGTACAATCACCAAAGCAAGGACAGTGTGCCTAGAAAGATTTAATAGCTAAAATAATTCAAAGATATAATAAATAAACCCAATGCTGAGATAAAATAATAAAACTAAATATGCCTTCTCAACATCAGGGTTGCTCAGAACCTCTGTGAGATTTCTTAAACTTTTTCTAGAGCAATATCAACAGGTCTTGACCCCAAACCTAATTGTGGTCCATAGTCAACTAATGAAAACCTCATATGTTTTACAAGTACTTGAAAAGCTCCTAAAAAAGAGATTTATTTAAGGTAATATTTATTTCAAAGTGCTGGTAAACCATATGTGCACATGTAATGAAATATTTTTTAAAAACTTGAAAGACTCACATTGTACAGGCAACACACACTGGTCTTAGGAAGCCAGATAAGTTAATCAAGAGAACCTGAACTTCATTTGTTGACAGCCATTATTTGACTTGAGCATTACAAACATGTATTTCTTTTTCTAAGCAATTTTCTAGCCTAGACAATTATCCCTCAAAATCATTTTTAAACCTGTTCCAACTTTACAAGTCAGAAACTCTTATCAGTATAAGAAAATCTTGCCTGGGTTCCCTCATCTCAAAGAATGCATGGTGTTTCCTCCACGTCATAGATTTGAAAATTGTATCTTTGTGGCTTCTTTCTTATCCAAACATACCCACTTGTCTAATGAGCATCAGTAGCATCCACATAATCCAATGGTGATCTATTTTTTTCTTTAAAGATTTATTTTTTAATATATTTCTGGAATTTTCAAGACACTTCAACAACCCATGAAAGTTGGCTTCACTGGATATACGATCACTTCAAAAATCTCACAGAACAATACTGCCTGAACAAAAGAGCATCTCCCTATTCTCTAAAATTAACTGGACATGATTTGTGTGATTTGTATTTGCTGTGGTCAAACGCTCCTTTCTTTTGATTTGTATTAGTTAACTATTTGATACTGAGGTCAAAACTAGGGAGCAGAAGGAAAAGCACCAATACCTTTTGGAAAATCTTCTTTCAAATTTAAAATGTTGTGGAGAAAAATATCTTCCTCCTCTTTTGTCTTGACCAAACCTTCCCCCAATGGGTAACTAACAGAATTGGGGGTATCCTCCACTTACCACCACAGTGAATGCATGACAGTCTCAGCCTGAGGGCTGGGGCAAAAGAAACTAGATAGTTTTAGTACCTTTTTAAGAAGGCGTTTATAGGGCCAGATGCGCTGGCTCCTACCTGTAATCTTAGCACTCTGGGAGGCTGAGGCAGGCAGATCGCTTGAGCTCAGGAGTTCCAGACCAACCTGAGCAAGAGCAAGATCTCATCTCTAAAATTAGCCAGCTACCCAGGAAGTTGAGGCAAGAGAGTCACTGGAGCCCAAGAGTCTACGGTTGCAGTGAGCTATGACACCAGGGTGACAAAATAAGACTCTGTCTCAAAAGAAAAGAAAAG